ACTTGTCATAATGAAATTTACTTGAAAATAGCAGTTAAGGCTTTCATTATAGCTATCATAATGATAAACTTTTTAGTTTTCTTCAATTCTCTTTTTATTTTATTATATATAATTCCATGGAATTTCGATTGGAAAACAATAGTTCCAATTTTTTTTTAATTCAGTTCGTGAATGCTTTTTTGATTGATTGAGACATGCTCAAATCGAGTGGGCTGTAGCTTCATTTATATATTTACAACACTAATGTCGTTATTGATATGTACACAAAAAAAACACCGTGTCGTGTATTTCATTGCCCATAACCGGTTTAAGATATCGGGCATTCGTATAAATGTTAAGCAACACACGATTTTTTTATTATTATTAGTACGTGTTGATAAATTCACGATGATAGAGTCTTATATTAATCTTTTTACTATTGTATAGAAATTTGACACACACAAAATAAAAGAAATAATAGATAGAAAGAACAACAAAGATTTTAATAAACATTGAATTGCCAGAAGCAATGATACACAAGCCGGGGTTAATATTCAATTTTTGGAGATTGTCCTATTTGAAGACTGTGGAGCCTAAGCAAACCAATGCTGAGCTTAATATTGATAAGTGAACAGATAACATAGATTTATTATATGTATTTTTTTTCATTTTGTGGGTTCGTACTTAGATTATTATAATTTTTTTGCTAAAAAAAATTTCAATTCCTGGTGTTAGATATTTTGGAGAAACCAGAAGACTTCGGCAGAGGTGCTGTCACGGCTAAACAAATGAGAACAAATGAGATATTCAGAACATTGATAATTTTTTTGCTGGTTAATGTTCAGCTTCATTAGTTCAAACAAATAAAGAAATGGTCAATAATCAAATGCGCATATCATGGCACTTGTAATATATCAGTCATTAATCCGCATTCTCAGGTGTTGCCAATTTTAAACAGCATGTCGTATCTTTCTTTTTTTGACTTCACCATGTCTAAATGAATCCTTCATTCTTTTTGCATCCAAATCAAGAAGAAAACGCAAGAACCAAATGCATTCAAATTAAATGATATGGAGGATCTTAGCAATTTCAACCAAAAAAACTTAATTTTGTGATTCTTTTTCTAAAGTTCTTTGAAGATTGGAGTTCATGCGAAAGAAAGTTTTCTAGCTTATTTGTTATTGATAAGATAAGTTTAGGCATCTGTTATTGAAGGCATAAAAGTACTCCAGTTTTTGTATTTAGCATGAAAAAACAGTCATGGATTTTTCATTTTTATTATTTTGCAGATAAGGTTATTTTCTAGGATCTTATCATGAACTAGTGGGGTTTAGGCAGATGTGCTCATCCTATCCAGGCCTATGCCAGTGTATAAGCGTAAGAAGTATTGGGTGTTAGATATATAATTGAATTAGAATTAAAAGTTATGCACATAAATGACCTTTTATGTATAATGCCGTATCAAACTTATATCCGTGTCCTATATTTTCAACAAATAGAAGTTTTTAGTGTTTGTGTACGTATCCGTGCATCATAGATGCTTAAAAAGGCCTTCACCCATATATGATTTAAATAAAGTCTTAACAGACTTTCTCTGGTATTTGATTTGTAAAATCAAACATTCTGATGATCTTTTCCAAATTGCAGCCGGTGGATCAACAGCAACCCCTCGCAGTTTGCTTTGACAAGCTGATGGCCGATGTGAATTGGAGTTTGGATTCCAAGTTCACCAAAATTTGACGATCTTCAGGCATGACTTTCGTGTCAAGTAACCTACCTGATCTTTAACAGTGACCTGCTCATACAGACCTGACATGGTACAGTTTGTGAATACCCTTTTTAGTTTCCTTCCCTCACAAATACCAGCTTTTGATATAACAGGGAACAGTGTGGATTAAGGCAGTTTAATTTTATGAAGCCGTGTTTTGATTCTGGTGGATTGGTGGCTTTGTTGCTTCTATTGGGGTATGTGAAGAATTAAGGACATGTATCAGGGTTTGTACAGCAAAAATTTAATAGGTGCTGTAAATGGGAAGGCACCATCTTATATGCCCTTTACCCAAATTCCTTATTCTTTTTGTTAGACAAAAAAAAAAGATAGAAGAATGTTAATTTTATTCCCTGACTGGAGATTCTTTGTACCATACATTTCCTTCTAGTTGTAAAAACACAGATGATTAGCTTGTATTACTATTTTATAACATGTTATGATGATTTGCATGTTCGGTTTTGTTTAACCTGCCATTTGCAAAGTACACCCCAAAGAAGACGGCTTTTGTTTTTGCTTGGATATTCTCTGCAGAATTATTTGCTGAAAATCTCTGAATTAAGCTTCCTAAAATTTGCAAGATTGGTCCAGACATTATCATCACCATCAGCAATGTGTGTTGTGCCTTGTAGTGTAATGCTAGATTTATTTTGGTTTGGATTTGAAAGCAATATTTTTTTTGTTTTTGAACTTTGGTTTTTTACCCATTTTCTGACTTTTTGCAGGCTTCAGTGAAAATTTACCCAGAGAGAGAGAGAGAGAGAGAGAGAGAGAGAGAATGTATGTAGTTAGAGGTTTGTGGTTGTCACGATTGATTTAGGGGTTTTTTTTAGTTGACTACAGAGAAAAATTTTCAGAAATTATGTAGTTTCTAAAGCAGAATTTTGATGATTTGAAACCCATAATAGGCAAAAAGTTCTTTTAAACATGTCCTAGGACTCAATTTTAATCAGATTTGTTGGTTAGATTTTTTATACTTGTCATAATGAAATTTACTTGAAAATAGCAGTTAAGGCTTTCATTATAGCTATCATAATGATAAACTTTTTAGTTTTCTTCAATTCTCTTTTTATTTTATTATATACAGTTCCATGGAATTTCGATTGGAAAAGAATAGTTCCAATTTTCTTTTAATTCAGTTCGTGAATGTCTTTTTGATTAATTGAGACATGCTCAAATCGATGGGGTTGTAGCTTCGTTTATATATTTACTGCACTAATGTCATTATAGATATGTAAATAAAAAAAACACCGTGATGTGTATTTCATTGCCCAAAACCGGTTTAAGCTGTTTAGGCATTCGTACAAATGTTAGCAACACATGATTTTTTTTTTTTATTATTATTAGTACATGTTGATAAATTCACGACGATAGAGTACTATATTGATGTCTTTAGTTTTGTATATAAATTTGACACACACAAATAAAAAAAATAATAAATAGAAAGAACAACAAAGATTTTAATAAAAGTTGAATTGCCAGAAGCAATGATACACAAGTCGGAGTTTTCGATGAAACTTCTATTGTGTGAGTGGCAAAATATATTGGGGATGTAGCGACGATTTAGTTGCTTTGATAGAAAATCAAAAGTAGAGGTCATTTGCTAGAAAATTTGATGTGAGTGCATCGGTAGTGATAGCTCGATGATGGTGTTCCAGCGACTACGACGATGGTGGTCGAGCAGCAATGACTACCTAACAACAGTGGTTTAGCAATGTTAGTGACCAGATGACAATGATTAGATGACAGTTGGGATGACCTAACTATGGTGGTTTGATGACAGTGGCGGCAGCCAGACAGTGTTGGTCTGATGAAGGGCAATGGTGGTGGTCAACACCGGTGGTCTCATGGCACCGATGGCCAAAAGGTGGTGGTCCAACAGAAGCAATGACATTGATGATCTGGCAATGGTGGTCCAACAGAAGCAATGACATTGATGATCTGGCAAAAAAGGTGGTGGGCCAACAGAAGCAATGACATTGATGATCTGGCAGTGGTAGTCCAACAACAACAGCGGTCAGATAGTGGTGGTTTGGTGGCGACCACGATGGTGATCGAGCAGTAGTAGCCTGGTTGCGATAATTGTGTTGGCTGGGCAAAAAGGTCCAATGGCTGTGACGACCAGACAACAATAATCTGGCGATGGTGACGAACTGACTAAGGTGGTCCGACGAAGGCGATAGTTAGACGACAGCGGTCTGGTGGCGGGGACAGTGGTGGTCAGACAACTGTTGTTTGAAGTTGGCGGCAATACAATGGCGGTGGTGAAGCTCGTGAACCCTCAAAAACTTGGAGCTACTTCAACTTTCTCTTCAATACTTAGCATCTCAAGAAGAGAGTCCGACTCAAACAACTTAATCAGCGGCTCAAAGTTATTCCCTTGATCTTATATAGTTTTATGAGTATTTGAATGTCAGAACTAAATGATCTTAGATGCTTTGGATTTGTCTCATTGAGACATTCAATTTGATTATAAACTTGTCCAATTTGGAGATGATTTGATCCTCCAAAATATATTTTAAAACTTCTTATTATGCTTTAAATGCATGTTATGGACTAATTTGAACTCACATCAAATCATCTTTTTTATGTCATTTGATTTCTCATTGAGACAAATTATTGGATCATAAATTGGAGTGTGAGCATTTCTAAATTTGATTTTTAAAATTTTTTGTCCAACTTTAAGTCGAGATTCATACACATCATTTTAGTCTGGTGTCAAATATATAATCAGTGCCTTCAACATTGGGGCAAAAATAATGAGAAAATTTATCAAACACTCGGGCCATAACTGCAACTGAATTGCTGTGTTATTCACGCTCATATTTCAATGATCATTTAACTTTGAAATTCAAAAGATGTAGAAAGCAGCTTTATTTAAAAAATAAAAAATAAAAATAAAAAATCAAATCTTTCTTAAATTGATTAATGTGCTTTTAATCGTACAATTACTTCAGTGTTCTTTGTGATTATTTTAATTTTTTATTGTAATTTTTATTATATTTTATTAATAATTTAATTTGAAATAAAATGTATTTACATGTTCAATTAAGACCTATAGACACACCAAGACCTTTTACCTCATAAATAAGACCACATTAAATTTAGGAGATGAGACTTATGATCGTGCAACCATTTATTTGACATCTAATATTCTTGATTTGGGGATTTGGCAGTCAAATGTAGTTGAAATCCTAAAAAATTTAAAATGCAAAAAACTTTCTTTGCAAAACAAATTATTTAAAGATAATCAATAACTATAATCATCAATGATTGTAGCATTCAATTTAAGGGAAGCTTCAATCCTCATGAACTCCCCCACAAATAAAAAACTAATAAGAAAAAACTCTAAACAAAATCTAAACCTTCTCATCAATCTGTTCGGAATCCGATAACGATCGACTCTTATGAGATTTATCGCTCGCCGGCCGCCGCTCTTTGCCACCAGGCTTCGAAGATGCATTCCCATACCAAACCATCCCTGCAACTGCTAATATCATCCCAGCAACTACCTGAAGATTGAGCCCTTCTCTCCCAAACAAAAAAAATCCCAAAAGCAACACAAGAATGGTCTTCATATGACCAAGAACTTGGAATGAAACCGCCGAGAATCGGCCGATGCAGATGAACTGACTCAAATTCGTGCCTATTGCGATTAGGCAGGACAAGGTCACAAAGAACTGCATGCAACAAATGTAGCAAAATTATTTATTTATTTTCAATTATTTATTTTTGGGCATTTGCATACATACCCACCCAATTTCCTATGTTTTTTAGATACATACCACCTCACATCAACAATACCATTATTTTGACTTTTAAAAGGGAAATTTACACAAGTAGCACACAAGTCTTATATATTTGCATCATCTTAAACCTGAACTTTTATATTTACATACAAAACAGTTTGGTGCTTTAAACCTACGCAGCAAATTATATATTTCAATCTTAAAAAAATGGTAATGACGCTATTTTTTATGTGATTAAAGATTAGAGTGCTATGTGAGTAAATATGAAAACTTAAGTGTGAGATGGACAAATACATAATAATTGTGTGCCCCTTTTAAAAAAGTGAAATACAACTCACACACACACACACACACACACACACACACACAAACACGTAAATAAATGAGAACTGAATGGTTTGTATGAACATTTTCCTTTCATTTTTCATGAGAAAATTTGAAGTTTAGGTGTTAGTTAGATAAGCAAATACATAAGAATAGAATGGTTTGTATGTAAATCTTCCTTTTATTTTTAATGACATGGAGGAAGAAAAAGAAGAAACCAGAATCTGAGACTGAAAAGAGATGATGCGAAGTGAAGTTTATAGTGCTTACCACTGTGGTTACATTGTAGTCGAAGGAATAAACCTTTTTTGTGGTTAATAAGTAATCTACAAAAGGGCCAAGAAGCAGCAGAGACGCTGCCTGTGAGGGAGCAGTGTGGCCTAAGAGATTGAATGAGCCCAGAGAGTACTTCCGTTGAAGAAAATGGACATACTGCAAAAAAATATTAACTGCAGCTCAAATAATGGTGATAATTTATGAAGCAATTCCGATTTTAATAAGCGTAGGGTGTGTTTGGTTGAATTTTAAGGGGTACACACTATCCAATTCCTATTTATTTATATATCTAACATCTAAACTTTACCTTTTTATATTTATGCCATCCAAAGTTTCATATCACATCAAATATATCATTATTTTGACTTTTAGAAAGTGATATACATCTTCTCATGCTTAGGCAAGATGGCATGTATGCAGACACTGTAGTTTAGGTGTTAGATATATAAATACATGGGAATTGAGTGGTATGTATGTAAATATTTCTCTTAGTATTAAATAGCATTGTTATTTGGATTAAAATGATGTTTTCAATTGCAGCGTTATCTATAAAATACACTGCATTTGATTCAAATTTCACATATTTTAAGAGTGTAATTTTTTTTTATTTTTTATTTATTTATTTATTTATTTATTTTTTTGATGCAATGAAGATTGGGCTAATCTAGATATCATCTACTTAGGTTGCTAATTAGATAACCTCAAAATTTCATATTAATATTACACAAAAGACACAAAAGACCTCAATTTGAAATAATATTCAATCAAAATAAATTTTAATATATTAGGATGATATAGCACAATATTACATCAAGAAAGAATAAACCAAGAAACCTCTAATCTTAATCATCTATTGAGGTGATGTCTAAAGAAATTGTCTTTACTGTATTGAGAAAGAGAAGCATGTATCTCAGCAGAAAGAAATTGTTTTTTTTTTCCAGTTCTTAGAAGTTTTTTAATACAAAATTCCTTCTAAAATCAAATCTGTTACGAATGTGATGGCTATAAAAAAACTATAGTTTAACTTTTTTTTCAAAAACAAAAATATCTATAATGTTAACAACTTTCAAAACAATTATTTTTCCCACAACATCTTCATAATTATCTTTATAATAAACTGCAATTACCTCAAGCAGACCGTAAATCTTCATATTCCTTGAAATCCATAATGATCTAATTTTAATTGACTCATTTTCTTTTCTAAGTATGTGGGCTTATTAAATCAACAAAAAGTAGTTGAAGCAAATGAAGTTCAAAAAGCATCATAAGATCATAAATCTATTTATGCATGAAGATAACATAGTCTTACATATTGTTGTAAGGCTGTGCTCCAAACAGCAATAACAGCGGCAATCAGACCTTTGGCATTAACACTCACATCAGTAACTGTACAGACCGCAACACCTAAGAGAACCACCAAAATGCTGAGCTTTGTATCTCTCGAATAACGAACCTTATCGAATATAACTTCTAGAAAACACGACACGGGGATCATACAGAGCTTCGCGATCTGACAGCGAATGAATAAGAAGTCAGCAAAAATGTTTCGACCAAATCCAAATGAAATGAATTCTTTAAGAAAGATTTAGATACATAACACTCAATTTTTATGTATTTACACATTCAACACCGAAGCTTCAATTTTTGCATACAAACCACCTTAACAGTGCATAAAAACGTGTAATCCACCTTTTAAAAGTTAAAATGGTCGTATTTTTTATGTAATGTGGAAGATTTGGGTGGTATGAATATAAAAGGTAAAGTTTAGGTGTCAGACAGGTAAATATAAAGGAATGTATGCCAATGCCCCATTCATTAAGTTGATCGATGGTCAAACCTGATAAAATCCCACAGAATTCCACATCAAACTAACATTCATTCCAACGATGGATAAGTTAGCGAAAGTGACGAATTTTATGAGTTCTATTGCTGGCAAGTGAGAAGGTTGAATGTATCCCAACCACCTAAGCACAGAAGTCATGATAGTCGTCGTAGTGAAATGCAGACCCGTTAAAGTTGTAGCTGCAAACAAAGGTAAGAGCACATAAGATAAGAGGAATGGCTATGTATTTCTACTTTTATATTTGCAAGAAAATCAAGCTTTTTCTAAACAAGTAGTGTCAAAAAAATCCTCGACTATTTAAAAGTGTAAAATTAATCCTCATATTCTTTTAAAATGCGGGCTAAAATAGCCGAAAATCAAGCTTTTTCTAAACAAGTAGTGTCAAAATAATCCGCGACTATTTAAAAGTGTCAAATTAATCCTCATATTCTTTTAAGATGCGGGCTAAAATACTTCCATTAAAAGAATCTGGGGACTAAATTGACACTTTTATAGACTAATGAGACTAAAAATACCTTATATAAAGAGTCAGGGGACTATTTTGACACTTCCCTCTTTTCTAAATTGAGGGTAACAAGCTAAAACTTGAGAGAGAGAGATATGAATGAAGATAGGAGTGGAAGGGGCAAAAGAAGCAAGAGGATAATACACAAACATAACAAGAAATAAAGACTGAAAAGAGGCTCTTATTGATGTCAAGGGCTCTTGCCCAAAGCAATGCAGTTCCTTAATTTTATTAGACAAATTATTAGTAAATCTTTTGGTTCTTGTACCTTTTCTCTTAGGTATGTGTACGTGTGTGTGTGCGTGTGTGTGTGAATTTTTTCAGAATGCAAAATGATGAGAAAAGAGTTGAAATGAACCCTTGATTATTTGGACGGGGAATATAATGGTTCTAAATAATACAGAAGGCCAATTTAGTTTCCAAAATTTTCAAATAAGAATTAAAAAAATCCCAGACTTTTAAATTGAGACTATTTGATTATTTGGAGAGGGGGATATAATGGTTCTAATTAATACATAAGGCCAATATAGCTTCCAAAATTTTGAAATAGGAATTTAAATAATCCCCGGACTTTTAAATTGGGACTATTTTAGTTTACATTTAAATAGTAGGAGACAAAATTGTCTTTTACATGATTTAGGATCATTTTGACTCCCAACAAATAATCAAGGACCATTTTGGCCCCTTTTTAGCTAAATAAAACCTAGAATAAAAGTTCCTGGATAATAACCTCTAATATTTAAAAGAAATAAGAAGCTCCGTATTATTTTTCATATGTTTGTTCTTAAAATATTAACTATGAATCGAAGGCCATAAGCGGTAACTTCAACTGTTTCTTTAAATATATTGACAAAAATACATTGAAACTAGGATATAAACATATAACTCTTGTAAACATATAATAATATAAACAACTCAAGTAAAGCAAATGACATAAATCTATGGCCTTTTGAAAGTTATCATAAGAAATTACAATAATCTACCGATGCACCTTGCAAAGATGAAAGAAGAAAAGTTCAATAACTACATGCAGAGAAAGAAACAAAAACAAATCACATATTCAACAAAACAAAACATTATTAAAGGAAGCCTTTAAGTAGCAAAGTTCACCTACCAAAGCTAAAACCATAAGTAGCCATTAAGGCTTTATTAACCATGATGATCCCAACCGAAGTTACAACGTTGAACATCCATGAGGCGACATCCAATGAGGCTTTTCTATCGGCTTTTTTGGTAGGAACCATGTTTCAAACTAAGCTCCTTCGGCGTTTTGGTTATTCCACTAGGCCCCACAAATTAATATCAAAATCAGCACCTATGCTACAATTTTTAAAAACCACAAAAATGATTATCAATTTAACAAAATAGGAAAAATAACCAGAAATCTTAGAACAAATAGTTAAAAAGAGCTTGAAATATGTATGTATTCTAAGAGGCAGACATTAAGATGCATTCATTATCCAAAAATTGTTTTCCATTAAGAACTGGATCTTTACAATGGGAAAATAACTCAAAACAGCTAGAAAAATTACATGAATCGCATATAGTCTCCAATTGTAGAATTATACCCTCATAATCTTACCATATTGACTGTTTCGAGCTGGATCTTGGTAAGAGAATAGTTGAAAAAAGTTAAAATGTTCATGCACAAAATTAAGACAAGTATGAAATAGTTGACTTTCATCAGAAAAGTTAAGAGATTGTGCAACCTAAAGCTGAAAAAATATATTCAGCATATCCCTCATCTATGAGTATATCTTCTTAACTTGCCATATGACCATTTTGAGCTTAATCATTATAAATTGAAAATCGATAGAAGATGCTAAAATACTTATACTTGCAGTTTAGACAACATAGTAAATCTAAATTTTATTTAAATGAGAAAAATAAGAAGATTGACATTTTGTGAACAGCTATTGTCTAGGACCATAATTGTTCATTTTCAGCATATTCTTTACCAAAATTAGCTGAGCTTAAAAGAAATTTTTAGCTCATTTACTAAACAAGTTTCTTATAATTTAATTCAACATTTCAACATGTGTTAATGCATCTGATGATCATTAGCATGGTTTGTAGCAGATGAGCCATACAAAAACAAAATTTTTAGCTCGTTTCCAAATTTGAGTTTGTTGATGTTCATTTTAAATAGTTGAGGATGAATAATAATAGTTGACAAATATACTTCTCATCTAAGATAACATCCTCATAGTAATATCTCATGTCAATCTGATCATTCTCACTTTTTCCAACCTTAAATTAAATTGCTCATTCAGATAATCTTAGTACAATACCCCATCAAGCAAAGATAGTGTTCACATTACTTTAGTAAAAAAAGTTCCTCCAATTGTCCATGATAGACAAACATCTACAAAAATTATCTCCTATACAATCCTTTATTCTAATGCTGATAGAAAGAATATCACATGAGATTTAATTGAGCCACATTCTAGCACAAGCGTGACATGAGGCGGGAAATTTTTAAACTTAAGGGTCTATATGATATAACTTTTCTGTCCGCTTTGTGTTTCAGACCGCCACCACAGCTCTGTTTGAGAAATTATTTTCTTTCTACTTTCTAAAAATTTATGTGGCGAGAATATGTTTTTTTTCAACCTGATCTGTTAAAGAGCAGTGCCTTGTAAGAAAACTATTGTGTGTTTTTTGAGAAAAAATCTATATTTATAATTCCACTGTAATTTTTTAGAAAGTTGTTTTCTCCACCACAGCTTTATAATCATTTTTTTGAAAAGCTGCAGCCACCCTAAACAAACCCTAAGCATTCTAGTACATATTTGCTTCATTTAGGAAAACTAATATTTGTTATTTCTAAAAAATCAAACTCGTTCAACATAAGTTTACTTGAAAAAAAATTATTTTAAAACTAAAAATTTCAAAATTCAAGTCCATCCATCAAAGAATTAAAATTAAACCTAAATATAATGGATCAGAGGAATATATTTTAAAAAATATTTATTAATCTTATACAATATTGAACTTTTAATCATTTGCCATACTAAATGCTAAAAAAGATGAACCAGCAGCTTAAATGTGGATTATTGAGATTAGTACCCCTTTTAGTTTGACTGGACTAGTTTTGGGAGGTTCACAGATTCCTAAATAACCCACCTTCTTAACCTTACCAAACTAACATGCTATGAAATGGTGCAAATATTGAGTAAAGAAATTCAGTCAATTTACAAGCCTATAAGCAATTCAGTCTGAGTACAAAATGAATGGACACAAATGGCCAATTATAGCTGAATGAATACCAATAGGTGACCAACCAAAATTGTATATATACTATATAGCCATTAAAGTTAGTGGAAGAGTTTGACCTCAAACAAGAAGTGTTTGATCATTAACTTAGGCATGTAAGCAACAATAAAATTTGTGTAACTCCATTTACAATGAAAAACCATGATTCTCCCACCTCTCAATCTTGTTTGACCACCTTTCCAAATCAGTCTCTTAATCTAATTTGATCTGTTGAATGGTCTAAACCAAATTTGGACGACAACATCCCTTCTTTTAAAATAAATGAGCAAACATAAATGGCGAACTAATAAAGAATAGATGATGGTACACGAATGATAAGAAACAATTATTTTCTACTAAGTCTTTGACCGCTATGTATGAAATCTTTAGCTGAGAAGACAAACTTTGATTGATGACTCCTCTTAGATGACATGCCCCGACAAGGAAGGATAGCATAATAGGCTAGATTAGATTCAGTACTGACCTGCCCCATTTCACTAAACTGAGCAAGCGAACTTAGAATTACTGAAAAATATGGTTGGGCATGAGAAGCTTAAATCGAGCACAAACAAAACCTAAACATGTGGGCTAAAAAGCCTTTTCATGGCCTGAGTTCCATCAAAATACACCTTAGATCAGGCCCTTCAAGTGAGTCAAAGATTAAAGATTGGAGATACAATCCCTTATCTACACTAAAAAAATGAAGATCTTCTATGCTCGTGCTAAAACCAAAACAGATTGAGGGTCTGAGGAATTAAAAATGAGAGTCTCATATAGAAAGAAGTCACGTTGGGTGCAAAGCATATAAGTGATGCAACCCTTGAGGATGAAATAATACAGTGAGGTTCGAGCAACAAGAGTTTTGCCACTCCATTCATAATAAAAATACAAATTTCTTCCAACTATCTCTCCCTGCATCTTCTATCTCAACTCTTTTCAAACGACTCAACTTCACCTATCTCCTCCTCTAATATGATCCATTGATCAATCTGAACCAAATTTGACAACAAGAGATGAGAAATCAAACTTTAAGCAATATTTATAAGGAAAAAAAATCATAATTAAAATTCTGCTACAGAAATAGTAGCACATCAACCTTTACAATGATCAACTCTACACATAAGATGTATCAGATCACTCAAACCAACCGATTAATCATATACAAACATTCCACCAAATAACTCAAATTTGTTGGTGGATAAAAGCCTTAGCCAACAAGCCTAAGCAAGAAACTTCCAACATAAGTCAACCATTAATGACTATCCATCTACCATCTCATGTGATAAAGCAAGTTAAAAATTTAACTTTTCAAATCAGCACTATAGAATTCTTTGGTTAATCTTACAAAATGCTAACCAATCTACATACCATTCATCGACAAGGCCTTCATTCAATGACAGTAGTATAGACAAATAAATGCATACTTGTGGTAATCAAACAACAACTTCCCTATTATCTTACTAGCAACATAATTCACATATAAATTCACAAAAAATACGGTTCTATGAGTAGTTGGAATATGAGAACACTCTATACACCAATTGGAAGCGAGTTTTATGCTACCACTGTGCATTTTAGGATTGCCTGAACTTCAATCAATAATTACATGGATATTTTAAGGCATGATTAGACTTTCTTATAGATAATTAATGTTGAGTGGCATTTTTCTTCTTGTTATTCCTCATTTTCAGTTTTGTCTTAACTCATTTGGACTTATTATTTTGAATGTTGTCCAAATAATCTGTCATGAAATTACAGAGCATAATCAGAATTCCAAACTCCTGCAAACTGTAAATACAAATACTATATGCGTTTACATCAAGATTGTACTCATACAAATAAAATAAACATTTTAACTAAATTTAAAAAAATATATATTCTTGACAAGCTAAAAACGATGCCACAGATTCCCTCATCTTGAAGCTGCTCATTTCACAGTCATGCATTGCGAATACTAAAAAGCAAGAGCAAATCCCTCCAAAAGCAAACTCCAACTTCACTCATCTTAATAACAATTAAAGAAGCTAAAATATACAAATTTGTATATTTCAATGTTTTAAAACATCAACTTCTTTCCAAAAAGGCACTCGGTCCTGAATCAAGATCTAATCACTAACATTTTCTTTTTTAACCACACTTTCTATTTAATCAACTAAATACCGGAACTTCTAATTTCACTAGAAGATGAAAGAACTACGCATAAAACAAAGACGCGAATTCGTAAACAGTAATCAAACAAATCCAACATATTAACAAGAGAAAGACAAAAAAAAGAAGGATCGAACTCACCGGATCTGATCCGAGAACAAATATGAACTGTTAATGGATCATAGAACACTCCCAGAAGAAAGAATACGAATTTGCATTTGTTTTTAGGTCAAACAAAAGAGCATGAGAAGATGAAAACAAGATTTGGATCTCAATCTCCCTTCGGCAATCTTTCAACATAAAATTTTAAGAAAAAAATAAAAAGCAAATCGAAAGGAGATCGGGTCGGCGACGGTGAATTACTACCCCGAAGAGATTCTCATTGCTAAGCCGTCGCTCGATCTCTAAACACTTATGCTCCGCAGATAGCGAATCGCGACGGAGCTGGGAATCTGTTTTGAAGAAATTGGAGAATTTCAACGGCCCTCTTGATGAAATATAAAGCAATTAGTAACTCTTTTCTTCTGCCGGTTATATTTTTGCATGTGTAATTAATAAATAATTATTGGTGCATTTACTTGCATACATCCGAATTTTTATATATTTACATATCTGACAACCAAAATTTATTTTTTTACATTTAAAAGGTATCACTATTTTAACTCTAAAAAAAGTAAAATACACATTTTTATACATAAGTGGGGTGGCATGTATGTAAAAATTGAAATTTTAAGGGTTGTTTTGTTGCAATTAGGATTTAGTTTAAATAGAATTAAATAAATCCTGCAAATCCGGATTTATGAAGTGTTGAAGGGGTTAAATTGATATGTCAATAAGTAAATCCTAATAAGAAAGAGAAACTATTTCACAATTATAGTAGGATTCAAATTCAGATTTTTACTTATATGAGAGTCAATTTTGTCTTTTGTCCCTCTTAAAATTATAATTTTGCCCCTCTAGAAATATCACTTTGTCATTTTTCGCCCTAGCCCCTCAGGGGCAATTAGCCCCCTTCCTCTGTTCCAACACTTCTACTTCTCTAAATCTCTAAATCTCATAAATCCTTGTTCCAACCCAAATGTAAAGGGCTATTTGGATAAGTTTTTAATATTGTTTTTGTCATTTCATTATTTACAACTTCTCTAAATCTCTAAATCTCATAAATCCTTGTTGCCAACGGGATTTGCTAATGGGTCGTTTGGGATCACTTTGTTAATAAATTGAATATTAAAATCTAAACACAATTTAAAAGATGAATATCAAATCATTTAATTATATTAAATTTTGGTCAAAATTACTCTAAAATACATTTCATACAAAAAAATAATATTCTATGATTTACCTTTTTTAGCTTTTATTTAATTTAACTTTAACATTATTTAAATTCAACATCAATCTAATAAATTATGAGAAATTGTATGATTAAATTAACAAGTTGTGATTATATATGTTCAAATTGATACGGTTATCTCTCATATGTTTTAACAATTTTAGCGAACTTCATTTTCTTTATCATTTAATTCAATTTGTTAATTATATTTATTATATAGTAACAATGGTTAATTAGTAAATAGATTAATATTTAATTATATGAGAAATTTATTTTAACTTTTTATATCACTAAATATTTCTTATACTTTATTTATTTTAATAATGTTTTGTATCCTCAGTTTTCTCTTAAATTCAATACAATTGTCAAATATTGTTATACATGTTAATCACTTAATTATAATTAGTAATTGCTAGGTGAAGGAATTTGAGCTTAGTTTGTATCCCATTAGATTCATTGACTTGTTTACATATATTTTCATAGTAATCCCACTTATTACATTTAAAAATATTTACTTATAATAAAAATTTTCACTTAATTATAAAATTGTAATTAATGCCTTATTTAAAGGGCTATTTGGATAAGTTTTTTATATTGTTTTTGTCATTTCATTATTTATATATAAAAGATGAAATAATAAACTCTATAATTATAAAAAGCTTTATAATATGAAAATTATCATCTAATCAATTTAAATAGGATTTTCAATTTACATTTCTCATTTATTGACATAATTATCTTGTGCATATGACTATTATGTGGTGATGCATGTTTTAATTGCTACAAAACATGCTACAAACATTATTGTGTTAGAGTGAATTACTCATTTCATAGTACATAGTTTCATCTTAGACATATTGTGTGATTACTCTTATAAGTTAAATTAATTGTTTGCATGAATTTGTGCTAATCTTGAATGAATGATGCACTTTCATTTGTAAGATAGTTTATTTAAATACAAGTTGTATGATAGTTTACTTTAGTATTACATCATTTATATTGATCACTCACTTTATAACATTACAAAACATGCATGCTTTGTCAACTATATCACACTTATATGTTTCATGATTATTTATTTAATTTATTTTGCATGTGAGTACTTCCAACAATTAAATTATTTGGAGTTGATTTGAAAAGTAAAATAATGAGAAAAGAAACAATACATGTAAAAAATTAATTGTTAAGCATAATTTTGTGGATAACTTGAAAGTTGAAATTTAGACGATGAATGTCTAAACAGTGTGCACCAATTAGGGCTTGTTTGGGATTAATTTTGTATTTTTTATTTTTTTATTTTTATTATTCCTTTGTTTTAAAAATATTTTTTTTAATGCGTTTTTAACATATTTTTATTTTTTGTTTCTAAAAACAAAATAAACATGTTTTTTTTTAAAACACTTGAAACAACTTTTTGGATGTTTTATGTTTCGAGTATTTTCAAAGAAAATCATATATATCTTTATCAAACATACCAACATGTTATGTTTCAAATCAAAACATAAACAAAGCAACATAAAAATAAAAAAAAAAGAATAAAAAATAGAAGTGATCCCAAACAACCCATTAGCTTTAAGATTAAGACGCTGCAATTTTTTACAGGAATGGTCGTAGAGCTATTGCAAAGAATGTAATTTTTTGAAAGTTGTTATAGGTATAATACATATTTCTTATTAAAAAAAAACATCAAACATTACTTTTTTATAGCTATCATACTTTAGAGATAAAATAACGAGCATCATACCTCAAAATCTTATGTATATAAATATCTAATGCCTAAACATTCGTATTTACATGCATACAACTCGCATCTTTAAAAGAGAGAGAGAGAGAGAGAAGACAAGTAGGATTCACGTGCGTGCCGGAAACTCCCAAAGAGCTCGTGATGGCAGTCCCTTCATCTCCTACCATTATTGGACTTAACAGTACCTATTAGTATGTTTTCTGAGATCTCATTTTCAGAGCTGGTACTAATTCTGAAAGCTTATTTGCCTTTTTATTTTTTACTTAGTCTATGTTTAAGCGAAGGTGGGAGAGAGGAGAGTCACGGGCGGCAGTAAGTTCAGTCCGTGACTGCTTGTGCAGACTGCTTATATATATATATATGTATAGTTTATAACACTGAAGTGTCATAAGTGTAAATTGTTAGAAATTCATGTTTGAACTTTATGACACAAATTCCAAAAATATATATTAGTCAAGATCTTTTAAATTCATGATTTTTACATATCTATAATAAAGTGACATATGTCTGTATTCATGATGAAGAAATTTTAGCTTGAAAAAATTTTATCTTGAAAATATGAAATTTCTCTCTCTAATCCTTGGAAACTTTCTGTACTTTATGATGGAGGAAAATGTACGGGGTGTGTTAAGAAGAAAGATGACTCATTCTCTAAATCATGTTTTATTTAACCACCATTCATCAAGGGGGTTACAAACCAATAGGATTTATGATAATTTAATAAATTAATTATTTTTTTATTATTAAAATCAATGACATAAGTTAATAACTTTTATTCATTTAATGGATTACATGAGTTATAAAATTAATATCATAAGTCATGACATAAGTTATGAGTTAAGATAATTAATAACTTAAGTTATCATGAGTTACAAAAATAAATATCATTAGTTATCATAACTTATGACATAAGTTATAAGTTAAGAAAATTAATTACTTAAGTTATCAAAATAAATATCATAAGTTATGAGTTAAGAAAACAAATAACTTACGTTATCAAAATAAATATCATAAGTTATCATAATTTATGACGTAAGTTATGAGTTAAGAATATAAATAACTTAAGTTATCAAAATAAATCTTAGAAGTTATTAAAATAAATTTGAGTCATAAATAAAAATATTACTTTCTCCCATTTGACTTACTTAATTTTAATAGTGCATAACATACTGCACAAAATGTAAGATAAATCTTTCTTTATATTGGTTAAATCATAAATTATTTGATAAGTATGAAATTAAAATAAATCATGACGGTTGTGCATCAATTTATCGACAGTACCTTCCATGTATTATAGTGCATAACATACTGCACAAAATGTAAGATAAATTCTTCTTTATATTGGTTAAATCATAAATTATTTAATAAGTATGAAATTAAAATAAATCATGACGGTTGTGCATCAATTTATCGACACGGTACTTTCCATGTATTAAAAATTGAGTTTAAAGTGTCAAAGTACAAAAATCATAAAACTAATAAAGGGTTTTGATAATACTCATTCTCACGACATGTTCGTTAAATGTCTTTAGTGACAACCCTTTCGTAGGATCTGCAATCATGAGATTGGTGCTAATATGATTAATTGACACCCTATGTTTTTGAATTTCTTCCTTACCTAATGCTCATTCTCACGACATGTTCGTTAAATGTCTTTAGTGACAACTCTTTCGTCAAAGGATCTGCAATCATGAGATTGGTGCTAATATGATTAATTTACACCCTATGTTTGTGAATTTCTTCCTTAACGACAAGGTATTTTAATTTCATGTGCCTTTGGAATACTTGTCATTTTTGGAAAAAAAGACTGCTGCAGAGTTATCACAGCTTCTGACTTTTCAATGAGATTGCTCATTCAGCCAAAAGAAACAGATAGCCAAATGTTGATTTTCTGGTATCAACTCATCCAACAAAATCTGAATCTAAATATCCTATCACTTCAATATCTTTCGATCTTCTATAAGTGAACATGTGGTCCTTTGTTCCTTGTAGATACCTCAAAACTTTTTTTGCAGTTTTCCAATGATCTATTCCTGGATTACTTTGATACATGCCCTGCATCCCGACAACAAAGCTAATGTCTGGTCTGGTACAATTTTGAGCATACATTAAGCTTCCAACAATAGATGCATAATGAATTTCTTCCATTTGTTTACGTTCCAAATCATTCTTTGGACACTGCATAAGGTTGAATTTATCTCTTTTTTTAATTGGAGCAACACTTGCTGAGCACCCTTCCATATTGAATCTCTTAAGAACTCTTTTTGTATATGCTTTCTGAGACAGTCCTAACAAACATTGTGATCTATCACGAAATATTTCAATTCCATTCACATAGGATGTCTCCCTCATATCTTTCATTTCAAAGTTCTTAGAGAGAAAGTTCTTGATTTCATATAATAAGTCAAAATCATTAGTAGCCAGCAAGATGCCATCAACATATAAAATAAGAAATATGATTTTGTTCCCACTGATCTTTAGATACATACATCGATCAACAATGTTTTCTTTAAATCCAAAGGACGTGATGGTGTGATGGAACTTAAGATACCATTATCGGGAAGCTTGCTTAAGTCCGTATATTGATTTCTTAAGTTTACACACCATGTGTTCATTTCCTTCAACCAAAAATCCTTCAGGTTGACTCATGTAAACCTCTTCATCTAAAGTCCCATTCAGAAAGACAGTTTTCACATCCATTTGGTGTAACTCCAAATCATAATGAGCTACTAGTGTCATGATAATTCTAAATGAATCTTTCTTAGAAACTGGAGAAAATGTTTCTTTATAGTTGATGCCTTCTTTCTGAGTGAAATCTTTGGCAAAAAGTCTGGTTTTATATCGTTCAATATTGTCATTCGAGTCACGCTTAGTCTTAAAGACTCATTTACACCCGACTCTTTTACAACCTTCAAACAATTCAACGATATCCTAGACTTTGTTGTGATCCATCGATTTCAACTCATCTTTCATTGCATCTAACTATTTAGAAGAATTTGTACTTTTTATGGCTTGTGAAAATGAAACTGGATCTTCATTGACTCCTAAGTCAAATTCAGATTCATGTAGATAAACCACATAATCATCGGAAATAGCAAACCATTTTTGTCTTTGAGACTTTCTATGTGCTACTTCATATGGTTCATCTAATGCTGGTTCATTATTGACAGTTTCATTGTGTGGTATTTGATCATATATTTGTTGTTCTTGTAAGTTGTTAAACTGTTCAACAACTATAGGAATAACCATTTGAGAAGAAATTTTGGATAAAAGAACCTGAACCCTAATTTCTTGGATTTCCAATTTATGTGGTTCCAAACTCTCATTAACTTCACCATTTTCAATGAACTTAAAATTTTCAGCTTCAATAATTCTTGTACTGTAGTTAGGACAATAAAATCTATACCCTTTAAATTTTTCTGGATAACCAATGAAAAAACTACTGGTTGTTCTTAAGTCCAGTTTCTTTTCATGTGGATTATATAACCTTATTTTCGCTGGGCAACCCCAAACACGCAGGTGCCTTAAACTAGGTTTCCTTCATGTCCACAGTTCAAAAGGAGTCTTTGGAACTGTCTTACTAGGAACCGTGTTTAATAAATATGCAGCGGTCTTTAAATCATGCATCCACAATGATGAGGGTAAAGAGGAATTACTCATCATACTCCTAACCATTTCCATTAGAGTATGATTTCACCTTTCTGCAACACCATTTTGTTGTGGTGTTCCTAGCATAGTATATTGAGCACATATGTCATTAGTTTGAAGGAATTTAGCAAATGGACCTGGACATTGTCCAAATTCATTGAAATTTCCATAATATTCACCGTCTCTATCAGACTTGATAATTTTCATTTTTCTGTATAATTGTCTCTGAATATCAGTTATATACGCCTTTAAGACATCTATAGCTTGAGATTTTTGATGTAATAAGTAGACATACCCATAAAGTGAAAAATCATCAATAAAGGTGATAAAATATTTCTCTCCACTGAAAGATGGAACATCAAAAGGTACACAAATATCAGTGTGTATAATTTAAAGGAGTTGTGTACTTCTTGTGTAGGCTTTCTTAAGTGTGTGATTTGTGTGTTTTCCTCCAATACAATTCACACATTCACAATACAATTCACACAGATGTCAAGATCAGTAAAATCCAATTCATTAAGGATTTCATTCTTTACTAATCTTTCAATTCTTTCTTTGGATATATGACCAAACGTTTATGCCAAAAATAAGCCGAACTTTCATTCATAAAACCACATTTAGTACCAATATTATGATGTAAAGTCATCAAAGTCTCAGAGAAAATGTTATAAAGTTAAGCTTATATAGGCCATCATAAAAAATACCAGAACTTATGAGATGATTGTGTTTAAACAAAATGAAACAACCATTTCCAAATTTAAATGAGTATCCAATAAAATCAAGTTTAGATAACAAAATAAAATTACGAGAAATAGAAGGGACATAAAGTGTTTGAAAAAATTTCAAATGATGTCCAGTATCTAAAATCAACCAATAGGTTCCAATAGCTTCAACTAGCGCTTTGACTCGGTTCCCCATGAAGACAAAATTTTCATTTGGGTTTATGCTTTGGGTTGTAAGGAATCTCTGCATCGTATTAGAAACATGAGTGGTACAATCAGAATCAATCCACCAGGTATTATAAGGAACTTCTGCCAAATTTGATTCGAAACATACATAAACACAAGGTTTATCTTTCTTTTCGAACCAGTTTTTGCGCTTTTGACGCTCATTTTGATAGTGTCCAGGCTTTCTGCAAAAGTGACACTTAATTCCTTTATGTTCCTCTTTGTGAATTGGGGCAGACGACACATTAATCTTTAGTGGTCCTTGCTTGCCTTTCCATTCTTCTTTCTATGTTTCTTTGCAGCTATTCTTTGGTGACCCATGAGATAAATGGAGTAATTTTCTCCTTTCTTAAGCCTTGCTTCCTCTTGAATGAGCATACATTGTAGTTCATTCATATTTCACTTATCTTTCATAGTGTTGTAGTTCATGTGAAATGGACTATACTCAGAAGACAATGAGTTAATGATAAATTGCACAAGAAAATTTTCATTCACTTCCATTCCCAGGGTCTTAAGTCTTACTGCTATGTTCGTCATTTCAAATACATGCTCATGCATAGTGCGAGAATTATCAAATTTCATGTTGGTTAACGTACTCAATAGTGTCCCAGCAAGAGACTTATCACCAGAGTCAGATTGAGAACAATTCTTAGCAAATTTCATAAATTTCTTAACACTTTCAGTATTAGAAAATGTACACTTTATGTTGTTTGCTACAGTCATTCGCATAAACATTAAGCTTAATTTGTTCGATTTTTCCCAAGCTTTATAGAAAGATATTTGCTCGACACTGCTAGAATTAGTAAGAACAGGGGGTTTCTCAGTCGTGAGTGTCAAATCAAGATCCAGAACACCAAAGTGAAAGTGGACTTGCTCACGCCGTTCACAGAAATTAAGCTCATTGAAAGTTTGAACAAATGTAGCTTGCAAATGAAGAGAAACAAAACTTGTAAATGAAGAGAAACAGTAGTAGTTACTGTAAATAAATAAAACATGTTCGTACATTAATGCTTCAAACATTAAACTTATATAGATATTCATATAAAATCAGATTAAAATTATAATTATAATAATAATAATAATAATAATAATAATAATAATGTATTGAAATCTCCTTTGGGTGATATAACAATACACGATAATAATCATAATTGATGCTCGACTTAAATTTAATATAATTAGTAGTTATTTATACTCAAATAAGACATGTATATTATCTTTGGATATATAAACATATCTTATTTAAGTATATAAATAAACTACAATTATATTCAAAGATTATAAAACAAATGATCAACATTTGAACGATCTAAAAAAATTATAATTAATGAATTTTAATATTTTTGTAATTAAATATTAAATTATTTCATAACAAGCATCATGTACTCGTGAGTAATTGAATTTATTTAATTTAACGTCTATTAAACTTATTAATTTAATTAACGTCTATTAAACTTATTAATTTGGTCACTTTGGTGACTAACAAATTAAACATAACATAGACATTAAATAAATAATAATTTCAATCACTTCAATTTGCTTTAATTTTATTGATCTAATTCAAAATCTAATTCACAGTGAAAATTTATTACAATTAACATAAATAAAATTATATGAAAAATCAAAAATTTTGTAATCAAGGTTTTGATACAACATATTAGAAATTTATGTTTGAACTTTATGACACAAATTCCAAAAATTACATATCAGCCAAGATCTTTTAAATTCATGATTTTTACATATCTATAATAAAGCAACACATACATGTATTCATGATGAATAAATTTTAGCTTGAAAAAAATTAATCTTGAAGAAATGGAATTTCTCTCTCTAATCCCTTGAAACTTTCTGTACTTTCTTATGGAGGGAAATATACGGGATGTGTTAGGAAGATAGAGGACACATTCTCTAAACCATGCTCTATTTAACCATATGTTCTATTTAACCACCATCCATCAAGGGAGTTACAAACCAATAAGATTTATGATAATTTAATAAATTAATTGATTTTTTATTATTGAAATCAATGACATAATAACTCTTATTCATTTAAGGGATTACAAGAGTTATAAAATTAATATCATAAGTTATCATAAGTTATGAGTTAAGATAATTAATAATTTAAGTTATCATGAATTACAAAAATAAATATCATAAATTATCATAAATTATGACATAAATTATGAGTTAAGAAAATTAATAACTTAAGTTATCAAAATAAATATCATAAGTTGTCATAAGTTATGACATAAGTTATGAGTTAAGAACATAAATAACTTAAGTTATCAAAATAAATCTTATAAATTATTAAAATAAATTTGAGCCATAAATAAAAATATAACATAAATATCAAACTTTGAGTGTTAGATATGTAAATAAATAAGAATTGTGTGGTATGCTAGTAAATTTTCTCTAAATAAAGCAGAAGCAAAGCAGATAAATGTTGCGCCAAATATACCCCCAATATCAAAAATTCAGGTCCATACTCAACTAATTGTCACACATTACAAGCATTATATGCATTGATGCAACTAATATACATTGATAAATCTCATTACAATGAAAAAAATAGAGATTTAATAAAATCTAACCAAAACCATATACATTACAATTGTTAGTCAAGAATAGAATGTACAGAAAATCACCTCAGACTAGGAAGGGAAATGGTTGAAACTAGGCAATAAAGAAAGCTGAAGCACAGCATCATCTAACAAATCATCCAGTATTAAACTTTCAAGCTCTTCCACAACATCCTCAACATCATATTGAATATTCATCCATCTATCATTCCTCATAAAATTTCGAGACACAATTTCTTCTAAATTTATCCCCAGCTGAGGCAGACCTTTAAAATGCCAGCAGATGTTTCCCCAAATCTCTTGGAGAATTTGATCTCCCATAGGCATTGGTTTAGGGTTAGTATTGAAGGGAGACAGCCAAGGAAAGAAATAAGAAAGAAAACTCTCTAATGTTTCCACCAAAGCTTCATTGATCAGATCAAACAGAAGTTGATGTTCCAGTAAGGTATCATATTCATCTTCTGTAATTTCAGGTTTATAAGATAAACCTTCTGCTTCATTAGAGATTAAGGGATCCCTTTGGCCATCATCGGGGGAGTGCAGAGCTTGAAGAAAATCACTGCTGTTGAATCTAGATCTTCTCAGTATCTCTTTAACATAGTTGAATTTAGATTCGAGCTTAGGGTTGATTTGAAGAAGTAAAGAATCGAAGCAATTGGAATCTGGGAATGATTTTTCTCTTGGAAGATCTTTTCCATTAGTATTAACTCTATCAGAAATATTGATAAGAGAAACAGTAGATTGTTCTGATGGATATCTACATTCTGAACCTGTCAAAATCACAGAATACTGCAATTGTAATTTTGTTATGTAAAATTGAAATCATTAAAAGATCCCATTTAGATTTCGGGTTTTGTAACAAAGAAGTTTGAACCAAAAGAAAAAGTAAATAGCTCAAGAAAATTAAGGTTTAAGTTATTGGGGGAATCATATACATACCAACTTACTTCTACAGATTTGAATATCTAGCATCGAGATTTTAAAATTTACTTATATAGAGAAAAGTATCAAAATGATCCCCGGATTCTTTCAAAGGGATTATTTTAGCTTTAGTGTTTATAAAAGTGTCAATGTAGATCCAAAACTCTTTTAATGAACATTAAAAAAATCCTCCATGAGTGCTATTTTCAGCCCATACTAAAAGAGTGTGGGAACTATTTTGACACATTACTCTTTACTTATATAAAATTGAAGGACCATAATCACATTCAATCATATGCATAAAACCTGTGTTTTAATTTTTATTAAAAATTAATAGAAGTAGTGTTTTTAATGTGATGTTAAAGATTATAGTGTTATTTAAGTAAATCCTAAAATTTTAAGTTGTAGATATGTAAATATATAAAAATTGTGTAGAATGTATGTAAAACCCTTTAAACTTTTTCTATGACCTATGTTTAAAACATCATAAACACGGCTAAACTTTATTGAGACAAAAAACTTGAGAATGAAATAGCAAATAAAAAAATCTTATTTCATGGCTGTTTTTTTTAATACATATAAAATTTTACAACATATTAAACTCCAGTTAAACTACTGAACAACAAAATATCAATATGGCTAACCTTCAGAGGCGGCATAATCAAGAAATCCAATTGGTTTTTTTAATTCATGTGCGAGTGCTTCATCCAGTAGCTTTTCTCCTGGTGGAGAAATAGATATGTTTTCTTCTTCGATTAAACCATCTTTACTCAAATTTTCTGAACTCATTTCTGTGGTAAATTCTTCTGATTCTTCTTTCTTCAGTACTTTTTCTCTAGATGAAATAGTTAAATTCTCAAGACATGAAAAGGGTGCTTCACTTTGCGCATTTTTGCTTGATGAACAATCTTTGATGTCAGAAAAAGATAATATTCTATCTAAAGATTTCACTTTCGTTCTTTCAGTAAGTTCTTTGAATTCTTCTTTTGATATAGACTCAAACAAATGAGAATACTTGGCTACAGAGTCACTAAGAGAATGAGATCTTTGGATATTTCTCGGGACATGTTTGTTGAACTTGTTCCAACAAGAATTCAACTTGCCTTCTCTGTCAAATTTTTCCATGGTAGAAACATCCCACAGACCAGACTTACTTTTCTTCATGGCTTCCATTACCTTTCTTCCAAAGGGAATTCTATGAAGAATCCCATCCATAAAGACACGACGGTGCTCCTTTTTTTTGCTATGTTTGATGGCCATAAATCGACTAGAACTGAAATTAGTCTCCACAAGTTTTGGAGTGAGTTCCTCATCACCATCCATTATCTCTTCCTTCGGTGTACCTGAATGAAACTTTTCATTGACATCATATGTTTTATGCTTGAACCTAAACTGCCCATTTTGTTTCCTTTCAAGCAACCTTGGAGCTGGGAATGAATAAGCCCGAGTTAACTCGACATTGGAAGCTTGTTTAGCTTGAAGATAATGGGCGAAAATATAGCTCGGGTCATCGAGAATGTTTTGAATTAACTCTATGTTTCCATCAAATAGTTTCATCATGGCTAGAAATTCTTTTGATGGAGATAAGATAACATCTTCCTGCTGTTGTTTTATCTGTGAAATATTTTCGAGCTCATCCGGTTGGGTTGGACCGGAAGAATGACTTATACTGTAAGCTGTATTAACATCGCATTTTTTATCAAAATTATGCTCATCAAAACTAGGAGAGAGTATGTAGACCTGTTCACTGTTTGAAGAAGCTTTGTTCGTATCAACATTTTGCTCAATGAGTGAACCTTTTATCTCGAAATTCAGATTATCGAAATGTTCCTCGCTCCAATGATGAATAGAGAAAGTTCGGCGCAACCTGGAAGCAGGCAGAGAAACTTTTATTTTCTTGTTATGATCTCTTAATCCCCATTTGGGAATTGATATTCTCGCTGGATGTTTTCGGGTGCTGGCTCTGTCTTCTATCTGAGAGGTTTGCAAAGAATTAATAAAATCAAATCCAGAAATATGCAAAAGGTAAGTCATTTTCAGACTATTAATGAAAATGCAATTAGTCAAGGGATAACCAGCACTGTCACTGTATATTACCTAACTAGTCTGTTAATTACATTCTAAGCCAGAAAATCTATTGAGTCAAATTTGCTTAAACATTCTCAATAAAATTGAAATTATACATCATTTACACCATAATTACCAGATGAAACCCAACAAATCATGCAAAAAATGCAAATTTATTAATGGAAGGAACCTAAACTGAGGGTGGTATGTATGTAAATGTCCCAAAATTGTTTCGTAAACGTGGAAAAATAATATGTTGGCAGCTAAACAGGGACATGAGGTAACCAGCCTCCACAGGCTTGAATCAAGGAGAAGTGATGGCTGGTAGAAATCTTAAATATACTAACATATTAACTAGGTCACAAGCCCAAAAGAAAAATAAGGGGCATTTACATACATACCACCTAAATCCTATGTATTTGCATATCTAACACCTAAACCTTACTTTTTACATTTACAACACCGAACTTTTAAAAAGTTAAATACAGCTTTTTATGCATACGTAAGGTACATGTACGTACAAATTAAAGTTTGAATGTTAGATATTTAGATACATAAAAAGTGAGAGATATGTATGTAAATCATTCAAAAGAAAACAAAAAACTCACTCCAAAGCTGGTTTCTTCAGAATTAACATACTGCTGGCTAGTTGAAGGGGCATCCGGATCTGTTTTAGGTTCTTTGCTTCCTAACATAAGCAGAAGCGCATAGATTAGCTTGAGGCATGTTAACTAGAAGGTTTGCAAGGTATACTAACTTAAATCAGCAAACTTTTCTGTACATGGTTTAAAAAATGTACCAAAAAAGTGATTTTTTTTATGCAAGTGAATAAAGTAACCACGAAACTTTCCAGAATCATACTTTTAAAAAAATTTTGAAAGCCTGAGCTCATTCTACGCACTTCTAACCCAAACTAGCAAATTGCATCATGTAAACGTCAAGCATGTTTACATTATTTTTTCTTCAGATATTATAAACACACAGATCTTTTAATTTTTTATTAATCTAATTTCAGATCTAATTAGTCAATATGAATAACTGCAGCCACCAAGCAAACTTCAAAAGATTTACATAAATACCAATCAACTCTTATGTATTTACATATCTAACCGCTAAATTTTAATATTTACATGTATGCCGCCTTACTTATGAATGAAAATACGTATTTACTTTTTTAAAAAATAAAATAGTGGCATTTTTGAAGTGATATGAAAGATTCGGGTATTATAAATGTAAAAAGAAAAGTTTAGGTGCTAGATATATAAAAACATAATAATTGAGTGGAATGTATGTAAGAGTCTTTCAAATAGGCTTTATAGAGTGTTACACAAGCTATTAAATTTGAAAGACGTTTAATTGGTTAGAAGAAGGGAAAAGAATTTTAGCACTTATTAATCATAGTTTGGTTAGTAAAAGAACAGCTATTAAATGAAGATGACAATCAGGAAATTTGACTTTCATATATTGAATTTTTAAATGGCAGGTTGCATCCAATTGCTTGGAGGTTTTCACAGGATCGTACTTTCCGGATTTAAACTTTGTTTTTAGGTGTTTTAAGCTTTTTTAATTATTGTATTCATTTTTGGGCCTGGGTAGTTGTCTGTCAAATATCATTTCAGTTAGTTTCTTAATTTTCTTTAGTTTTATCAAGTATTGGACTTTTATTTATGATTTTTTTTTTTTGCTTCTATACGTTATCAGTTGCATACGATTTTTCTTTCGAAAACAAAAAAAATGTTCAATTCATTTTATTATACCCTGTATTGTTGGGTGTATTGCTTTCCGAACCTAAAGTGTAGAGTTGTAATCGAACCGAGTCGAGCCGGGTATATCATAGTTCAGACTTGGCTTGGTTTAATTATAAGTTGTTCATGTTAGACTTGAGCTTGTGTCGAGCTTTTATACATTGTCCAAGCTTGACTTGTTTAAATTTTTCAATGTTTGAACTTAATTTGTTTATGACAAGTGCACGAGTATTTAAACGAGCAAAAAAATTCAAACAAGTATCAAGATTTTCATATTAAAAATAAAATAAACAATTTTACAAATCTGATCCCACCTATTAATTTGTTGATTATTAACTCGATAAAAATGAAATGAAACTTATCAAATATGATCATATAGGATGTAATCTCTCGTATTTTGGCAGGATCATACTTTTAAGTTTGCACCAAACTACCACATTCGGATGTAGATGTTGATTTTCTCATAATGATATGCACTTGTCATTTTCCTAGTTTTTTTGGATAATTTTAAAAATAATTTATATATTGAGTTGTTACATCATTCTCATTCTTAATCATATATAACTTAACAATGATTGCACTGAATTTTTTCAACACTATTTTTTAATCGGGTATGACTTATGAGCAGAATGAAAATGGGAGACATAATAGTAACTCGATTTTCAGAGATCCTCCGCATTCTCATTGTTGCCTTTGATGCTTGCACGCCCTAGCAACTTAGGTTTTTGTATGTTTTGGACGAAACTGAAAGATGCAAGACTGTGAGAGGTCAGAAGAAAAATGAGATTGTGATGATTTAAAGTTAATTTTAAGAGACATTTCGTACATACCACACAAGTATTATGTATTCGCTTCTAACACCTAAAGTTTAACAAAATAAATAAATAATTAATAGTTATATATTAATAAAATAAATATATAATTAATAGTTAATGTAAAAATATTATTGATATAATAATATATTACTATTAAATATATAATTAAATAAATTCTAGTTAGTTAAATTTTATTTAAATAATATATCTCATTTATGAAATCAGTTATCATCGAGCATAATATCGAGTATTTAACAAGTTACTTGTTAAACCACAAACAAGCTTATTCGTGACATAAATAAACAACTTCGACTATGTTCATGTATAGTTCATTTCAGCTCCGAGTTTTCAAAAACTGTCCAAGCTTGTTTTTTTATTAATCTGAACGAACATGATCAAGTTTTAATCCAGCGGAGTTCTAGTTGTTCGTCTAGTACATTGGTTCATCTAAAACACTACCAAGGTGTGACAAAAAATAACACTATTTTAACTTAAGAAATTTGAAATATATCTTGTCATGCATAGGGAATGTGGCATGCACGAAAAAATTGAAGTTTAGGTGTTAGAAATGTAAATACAAAAGAATTAAGTGATATAAATGTAAATTAAAAAAAGAGAGAGAGAGACCTACTCGCAGCACGCTTGCCCTCGCCATGCTTTCTATACGTCAGCATCTTCATCTTTCCGAGATGAAGACGGTGATGGAAATCCAGAAAGTGCGCCAGCCCTTTCATGCAACCCGGAGAAGATTGCCCGTACGTCTGCTCTTCCATTTAATCCTCGCAACCAGTAACAAAGGAACAAATCTGACAGATTCACAATAAACAAAAAAAAAATTCACACATTAGATCCAAAAATCACCAAAACGAATGGAAATAAAAGTTGCCGAATCCATCGGCGGAACTATTAAGCAAAAGGAATGTAAGTTGTTTAATACTGTGAGACAGAGAAGGAGTGGGGAACGTGGAAGGGTTAGGGTTAGGGTTAGGAAGATTAAGAACATTGCCGGAGCGCTTCTGCTGCGATCGAATGAGAGGAAGTATCGCAGCGTCATGTAGATGTTTGATTGGTTAGGAGATCGGGAGGCTGTTGCCATTGGATGGATAGGAAACAGAGAACGAAGCAGTATGAGAGATTCGCGTAGCGGAGGGGCGGGAATGATAAATATATAGGGAAATTTACATGTATACTACACAATTTTTATTTATTTGCATAGGAATTTCCAAATTTTGATATTTACACTTTATATATTAGTGCCATAAACATTGCTTGAAAACAAAATGTAGTTTGCTTTTAAAAGAACAATGGCTATATATATACATATACATATATA